TCAGGAGGCTGAGGCAGGAGAATTGCCTGAACCCAGGAGGCGGAGGTTGCGGTGAGCCGAGATCGCGCCATTGCACTCCAGCCTGGGTAACATGAGGGAAACTCCGTCTCAAAAAAAATAAATAAATAAATAAATAAATAAATAAATAAATAAATCTGAGTCCCCCCAACCCCACACAGGAGTATAGGATCTGGTTCATCTCTCTCCCAGAACACTGCCTTGGGTCGGGTCCACCCTAAACTCTGGCACATTCCAGCCCCTCTTTGGGAGAAAGAATATCCCTTCTTGCCCAGGCCCTAGTGAGACATGCATCCCAAGACCTGCTTCCCCCCCGCTCCCCCTGGGCTCCAGCTGTTGCAGGCCCTCCAAGAAAGGAGACGCCCTGAGCTGGGCTATTTTGGTATCTGGGGTGGGTACCCACAGGGCTAAGGTTACCTTGGTATGTTAAGGGCTCCCTGGAGCAGGACTATATAACCCCAGAGGGACTGCTCCATGCTGACTCCCTGCTTCTTTCCCACCAGAGCTGCTGCCTTGCCCCCCGGAGACTGAAGACATGGTGAGTGACAATCCTCCAACCCCTGCCCAAATCCCTTAGACCTCAGGGCAGCCTCACCCTTTGAAAGAAAGTAGCCGGTTCCCAGTCCAACAAAAAGTTAAAAGGATGGTCATCTCTTTCTTGGCATCACTGATGGAAAATAGAATGTGTAATAGCCTAAAGGATCCAATCAATGATAATCCGCCCAGACATTCGACTCACAGGGGCCCAGTCCCTTTCAAAACCTCTTCCATCGTTCCTGCACTCCATCTTCCTAAAGCCCTCTGGCACCACGCAGGCAATAACTCCTATCCCATTTTACAAATGAGAAAGTAGAAGTTCAGGCCAGGCGCTGTGGCTCATGCCTGTAATACCAACACTTTGGGAGGCTGAGGTGGGCAGATCATTTGAAGCCAAGAGTTTAAGATCAGCCTGGCCAACATGGCAAAACCCTGTCTCTACTAAAAATATAAAAATTAGCCAGGTATGGTGATGCATGCCTGTAATCCCAGCTACTCCAGAGGCTGAGGGTGTTAGAATTGCTTGAACCCAGGAGGCAGAGGTTGCAATAAGCCGAGATCGAAACACTGCACACCAGCCTGGGCGACAGAGTGAGACTCTCAAAAAAAAACAAAAACAACAGAAAGACAAGATGAAAGAAAGAAAAGAAAGAAAGAAAGAGAAAAAGAACGAAAGAAAGAGAAAAGAAAGAAAGAGGAAGTCAGGAAGGAAGTCAGGAAGGAAGGAAGGAAGGAAGGAAGGAAGGAAGGAAAAGAAAGTAGAGGCTCAAACAGGGCGAATAAGTGGTTGGGGTCACACAGCAAGTCTGGGGCTCAGAGGAACCTGGCTCAGGCCACTGAGAAGAGAAGGAAGCTTCCATTCATTGTGGGGGATGAAGAGATAGAGGCCCAGGAGCCACAGATGGGAATTTGGGGAATGCAATCAAAGCAGGTCCCCTCAGCAAAGAGGTCCCAAGGACGGAGAGACTCAGGCCAAAGAGTTGCTTTAGAAACCAGGACTCAAAGAATTCTGAATCTAATCCATTGCCCCCAGAGAAGTGGAGGGACTGGTCCATGGGCCCCTTTATTCAACCCTCACCCTCCAGGCACCCAAGAAAGCCAAGAGAAGGGCAGTAGAGGGCGGAAGCTCCAGTGTCTTCTCCATGTTTGACCAGACTCAGATCCAGGAGTTCAAGGAGGTGAGTGAGGGGACAGGGGAAACTGAAAGGCTGACCAAATACAGACCTCTCCCCCGCCCTCCCCCTGGAATGTGCACCTGTTTGAAGGAGGGGAAAGGTTTAGAATTCCTTCCTGCCCTCCCTGCTTGGGGTAGAAGAGGACAGCTGGCTAGGAGCCAGCATCTGATCTGCCTGGGGCAGGGATGCTGAGGTTGGGCCATGGGGGACCTAACCCTCCCCATCCTGGCCCTGCCCAGGCCTTCACCGTGATTGACCAGAACCGTGATGGCATTATTGACAAGGAGGACCTTCGGGACACCTTCGCGGCCATGGGTGAGCCCACTACCCCAGGTGGGAATATTCAAGGCTGCAGAGTCGAGGAAATTCAGTGGCCTTGGGTTCCGGCCCTGTCAGCTCCACCTTGGGCCTCAGTCTACCCAGCTGAAAAAATGGATGGGATCATCTGAATTAGTAGGAAGCACAGCCCTGGCCTCAGAAGCCTGCTCCAGCCTGTACTTCCCCCACCAGGCCGCCTCAATGTGAAGAATGAGGAGATAGATGCCATGATGAAGGAAGCCAGCGGTCCCATCAACTTCACCGTCTTCCTGACCATGTTCGGGGAGAAGCTCAAGGGTGAGTGGAGTGTTCTGTGTCTAAGGCCCCAGTTGCCTTTTCCCCAGACCCTTCAGGGACCCATCAGCTTCATGTGCCCTCTGACCCCCACAGGTGCTGACCCTGAGGATGTGATCACTGGAGCCTTCAAGGTCCTGGACCCTGAGGGAAAGGGCACCATCAAGAAGCAGTTGTGAGCATTGGTCCCCCAACCCTTTTTCCCCTTCCCCTCACTCCACCAGCTGCTCCCACACTGAAAGCCTCCTTTAAGTTCCTACCAAGGCTGCGCGCTGTGGCTCAGTATTTTGGAAGGCAGAGGCAGGAGGATTGGCTTGAGGCCAGGAGTTTGAGACCAGCCTGGGCAACATAGCATGACCCTGTTTCTAAAAACTTAAAAATTCGCGGGCTGGCCAGGTGCAGTGGCTTGTTTCTGTAATCCCAGCACTTTGCAAGGCCAAGACGGGCAGATCACGTGAGGTCAGGAGTTCAAGACCAGCGTGGCCAACACGGTGAAACCCAGTCTCTACTAAAAATATAAAAATTAGCTGGGCATGGTAGCAGGCGCCTGTAGTCCCAGCTACTCCGGAGACTGAGACATGAGAATTGCTTGAATCCTGGAGGCGGAGGTTGCAGTGAGCAGAAATCAAGCCACTGCCCTCTAGCCTGGGAGACAATAGTGAAACTCTGTATCAAAAAAAAAAAAAAAAAAAAAAAATCAAAAAAAAAAAAAAAAAAAAAAAAAAAAAAAAAATCGCGAGCTTGGTGGCAAACACCTGTAGTCTCAGCTACTCCGGAGGCTGAAGCAGTTAGATCCCTTGAGCCCCAGAGTTCCAGGTTGCAGTGAGCTATGATCAAACCACTGCACTCCGGCCTGGGCGACAGGGCAAGACCCTGTCTCAAAACAAAGAAACAAAAATTCCTACGAAGGGTTAGGCACTGTCAGAGGTAACGGAGTAGTTAGGATTGTGGTAATGGGCGGTAAGATTGCATTTCCACAGCAAATGTGGGCGGAGAGGGCAAAAGCGAGCCTCTAGCAGGCCAAAGAGGAAGTAGAGTGACCCGGTTTTTGGGACGCTGGGGCTGGCAACGGGCATGAGGTGCGAGGGAGTGGAAAGGAATCAGGAACCCAATCGCAACTCCCCGTGTGTCACCTCTCTCCAGCCTGGAGGAGCTGCTGACCACGCAGTGTGACCGCTTCTCCCAGGAGGAGGTGAGTAGGGGCGGGGCTGGAGAAGTTAAGGAGGAGGAGCCGGGGAGCCTAAGGGCCGGTGCGAGACGCCCCTGCGTCTTCCCGCAGATCAGGAACATGTGGGCGGCCTTCCCGCCCGACGTGGGCGGCAACGTTGACTACAAGAACATCTGCTACGTCATCACGCACGGCGACGCCAAGGACCAGGAGTAGGGGCCCCCGCGGGCCTCCCTGGCCGAAGCTTCCGGCCGGCCCGACCCCCATCCGGCTCCCAATAAAATTCAACTGGTCTTTCTTTCTTATCGGCAACGCCTTCAGTGTGTTTGCGCGAGAGCCTCAGGTGGGAGGCTGGGCCCAGACGGGGCCCACACCTAAGGGAGCGCCTCACAAATGGAGGGATGCGGCCTGGAGGCCTGCGGGGGGCGGCCCTACAATCTACGGCTGCCGCCTGTTGCCGCAAGGAAAGAGAAGTCTCGCGTGGCTGCGGGAAGCTCAGTTTTTATTGAAGACAGAGCCTGGGAGAATAGAGGCGACCCCGAAAGACAGTGCGGCAGTGCGAGGCTGGGCCGCAGGCTCTGGCCGGGAAGTGGGCGGGGTCTGGCTGGGCGGGGAAGGGGCGGGGCTTCTGACCCGGGCTGGGAGAACCTCCCCCGAGCCAGAGCGAAGGCGGCACCCGCGGGGGGTCCGGGATTAGGCGCTGGGCAGTGTGGGGCGCAGGGATTGGACAAGAGGCCGACTGAAGGCGGAACCGAGGTAAGGCCGGGCGGGGCGTGGCCTCAGAGGGCGTCTGACTGCTCACCCTGGGCTTGGCTCTGCTGCATCTGGGCCTGCATCTTCTCCAGCATCTCTTGCATGCGGCGCAGCTGTGCGGGGCGAGATTGCAGGCTGTGACCCGGCGAGGCCAGAAAGGGACCTGGGGCCTCGGTCGGGGAGAAGCGAGGTGTGTGCTCACCTCTTCGTCTTTCTCGCGGATCAGCTTCTCGGTGTCCGCCAGAGGCATCATGGGCAGCGGAATCTCCGTGGCGCTCTGGCGGGAAAGCTTACTGCGGGGCAGTGGGAAGGGGACAGGAATCAGGAACTGGGCCTGAGGTTGTGAGTGAGACCCAGGAGGCAGGGCCTGGGGCGAGGTTGGGGTCTAGGAGGCGGAGCCAGGTCCCTGAGGTTAGGGCGGAAGGCAAAGGGGGTGGAGAGTGAGAAGTCTGAGTGGTGAAGGCGGGGTCACGGGTGGTGAGGACCGGGTCATGGGTGGTGAGGACCGGGTCATGGGTGAGGCGGGACCTTGGAGGCTCCGACTGTCGGCCCCGGCTCTCACCTGCGGCTGGCTCGATCGCGAGCCCCAGGCCGGGCCAGGCTCTGTAGGCAACGGGCCCGGTAGCCCTCGTAAAGCAGATCGTGCGTCACCTCTTTCAGGTCCTGCAGGTGTGTCTGCACCAGCATTCGTCGCAGGTTCAGGAAATCGCAGTGATGTGGGTTCTCCACTGGGAGGTTGGAGGGGGGAAGGGGGCGGCGGAGCAGTGAACATCAGGGAGTTTCAAGTCCAACCCACCCGCAGGGTCGGGTCTACAAGGAGGTCCTTCTGCCACTCTATCGGAGGGTCCACAATCTGCAGCCCAACGACCCCCCTTTCCTCCTAGGATCCACCCCAACCTCACATGTTGAGTGCGGCTGACCCAGAAGCCCCGAGCTCCCTCCTGCCACAGGACCCCTGCTTGTCCTCACTCACCCTCCACGGTCCCCCAAGAGTATCGGCGTCCCCTCACTGGTCGGTTCCTGCCATCCCTCACCACCTCGCAGGAACCCACAACTGCAAAAGGGATGCTTTCCTAGAGGGCAGGGGGCAGGGGTCACTCCTGGCCCACATGGCAGAAACTCTTTCCCAGCTTCAACCTCCACACCCGCCTCCTCTGCTTCTCACCCCTTCCTCTTTTTTTTTTTTTTTTTTTTTTTTTTTTTTTTTTTTTTTTTTTTTTTTNGAGACGGAGTCTCACTCTGTTGCCCAGGCTGGAGTGCAGTGGTGTGATCTTGGCTCACTGCAACCTCCGCCTCCCGGGTTCAAGTGCTTCTCCTGCCTCAGCCTCCTGAGTTGCTGGGATTACAGGTACTCAGCACTACATCCGGCAAATTGTATTTTTAGTAGAGACGGGGTTTTGCCATGTTGGCCAGGCTGGTCTGGAACTCCTGACCTCAAGTGATCTGCCCGCCTCAGCCTCCCAAAGGGCTGGGATGACAGGCCTGAGCCACCGTGCCGGTGAGATGAAGGTTTGGATGAGCTGGTTAAAAAACGGTTCCCAAGCCGGGCAATGTGGCTCACGCCTGTCATCTCAGCACTTTAGGAGGCAGAGGTGGGAGGACTGCTTGAGCCAAGGAGCTCAGACCAGCCTGGGCAACAGAGGGACACGCCCCCCAACCATCTCTACAAAAAATTTAAAAAATTAGCCAGGCATGCCAGGTGTGGTGGCTCACTCCTGTAATCCCAGAATTTTGGGAGGCCAAGGTGGGTGGATAACTTGAGGTCGAGAGTTCAGGAGTTCAAGACAGCCTGATCAACATGGAGAAACCCCATCTCTACTGAAAATACAAAATTAGCTGGATGTGGTGGTGCATGCCTGTAATCCCAGCTACTCTGGAGGCAGAAGCAGGAAAATCCCTTGAACCCAGGAGGCGGAGGTTGTGGTGAGCCGAGATCGCACCATTGCACTCCAGCCTGGGCAACAAGAGTGAAACTCCATCTCAAAAAAAAAAGAAAAATAGCCAGGTATGATGATATAACCCTGTAGTCCCAGCTACTGGGGAGGCTGAGGTGGGAGGATTGCATGAGCCCAGAAGATCAAGGTTGCAGTGAGCTGTGATCGCACCACTACACTCCAGTCTGGGCAGCACAGCAAGACCCTGTTTCAAAAAAAGAAAAAAAAAATGTTCTCATGGTTTAAGTGGACCAGAAGCCACGATGAGATTGGGGGTGGGTGAGGCCATCCATTTTTCAGCTCAGGGAATAGATTCATCAGAGGACTCTACCACATCTTTGGACATCGCTGCTGGAGAGATTTTCCTTCAGGATCCCGGCCAAGGAACTCCGCTGCTCAGAATCCTTCAGGAACGCCCCAGTGACTGAGTCAAGTCTGAATTCTGGCCTGAACACCAAAGCCTCCCTCAGCTGGCCTCATCAACCCATCTCTCATTCATCCAAACATCCTCGGCTGTCTACTCATTGAGCTTTTCCTTTTTCTAAATCAGGTGAACTCTTACTCATCCTTCAAGTATTTCGTTCAAAGGGCTCTGCCTCTATGCAATCTCCCCACCTACCCTAGGCAAGGTCATTGTCCCTTCATTAAATCCCCTGTGACTGGCTGGGTGCAGTGGCTCATGCCTGAAATCCCAACACTTTTGGAGACTGAGGCGGGCGGATCACTTGAGGCCAGGAGTTCAAGACCAGCCTGACCAACATGGGGAGACCCTGTCTCTACTAAAAATACAAAAATTAGCCAGGCATGGTGGTGCATGCCTGTAATCTTAGCTACTTGAGAGTCTGAGGCAGGAGAACTGCTTGAACCCAGGAGGCGGAGGTTGCAGTGAGCCGAGATTGCGCCATTTCACTCCAGCCTGGGTAACAAGAGTGAAACTCCGTCTCCAAAAAAAAAAAAAAAAAAAAAAGTATATTTTTTGAAACAAGGTTTCACTCTCACCCAGGCTGGAGTGTAGTGGCTCCATCTTGGTTCATTGCAGCCTCAATATCCCAGGCTCAAGTGTTCCTCCCATCTCAGCCTCCCGAGTGGCTGGGACTACAGGTGCACATCACCACACCTGACTAATTTTTGTACTTTTTGTAGAAATGGGGTTCTGCCATGTTGCCCAGGCTGATCTTGAACTTTTCAGCTCAAGCAATCCTCCAACCTCAGCCTCTCAAAGTGCCGAGATTACAGGTGTGTGCCACCATGCCCAGCCAAAAAAATATTTTTTAAGTTAGCCAGGCATGGTGGTGCAAATCTGTAATCCCTGCTACTCAAAGAGGCTGAGGCAGAAGGATCACTTGAGCCTACAAGTTTGAAGCTGCAGTGGTATGCCACCGTACTCCAGCCTGAGCCACAAAGTGAGACTCTATCTCCAAAAAACAAACAAAAAAGACAGAGGCCAAGAGAGACATAAGCAGAAACTGTAGGAAAGTGTGCTGAAGACACAAGGTAGGGGCCAGAGGGAAGTCACTATGTCCTCGTGTCTATGCTCCTGCCCTCAAATAGGCCTTAGCCAAGCATCTAGCCCAGAGGCTGCATATCTCGCCTATTTTGAGCCTTTGGAGACATGGCTACACTGGCAGCTTTCCATCTGCCTTCCTCAGAAGCGTCTACAGTCTAGCCTGACACACCATGCTCCAAAAAGGCCACTCCAAGATCAAAGACGTCTAAGCTGAAATCATGTTATGTTTGGTGGTGACTTTTGGCCTCACTTGGGGTTAAAGGTCAGAGGTCATTACTCACACCTTCTGCTTGAGGGCCTGGGTTTCCTGGGGCAGCAGGGCATCCGCTTTGCCAATGACTGGGATGATGTTGACTTTCTCATGTACTGCCCGGAGGAAGGCCACGTCTAGGGGCCGGAGCCTGCACCCAGGGACTGGTCAGTGCCCAGCCTCAGGGCACAAAGACCCCCAGCCCCAAGCCCTCCCTAAATGCCCCAGCCCCCAGGATTCCCCCACCAGACCCCCGGCCGAAGGGTGAGATGAAGTAGAGGCAGCAGTGGACTCGGGAGTCCTGGATGTTCTTCCTGTTCAGGCCACTCTCATCCCTAAGGTACTGCTCAAATTGCTCCTCGATGAATTTCACCACAGGAAGCCAGCTGGGTGTTGGGAGAGGATGTGAAGTCAGAGATCAAAGGCCAGAGGGCAGGGGGTGAGGCTAGCCAGGACTGTGAGAGTAAAACATCATTTATTTGGCTTCATCCAAAGACATTAAAGGGAACTGGTGGGGCCTATGTGAGTCCTCAAGAAGCACAGGGACCCAGTGGCCCTCCAAAACAGATACCACCTTTTGGGATAGGGAACCAGAACAAGCCAGCCCTATAACTGACCCCTTGGTCTCCAGGGAGTCACCACTGTGAAAGGCTGAGCCTCTGTCCCCTCCCCTCCTCACCAGTCAGAGCAGTCCACCGAGTCCCCAAAGCCAGGTGTGTCCACCAGGGTCAGCTTCACCTTCACACCCCTCTCCTCGATCTCCACACCCCGGCGCTCAATGGTCAGAGTCTGTGACAAGCGAGCTTTGGGATGGGAGACAGGTCAGGGATCCTGGGAGGCTCTGAGGCAGGATCAATTTCCTTTGTCAATTTCACAGTTGCCTGTGCCCATTTTCCGGGGGGAGGAAGTTCTCAGAAAAAAAGTCAGTTACCCGAGTCCCCAGATGGAAAAGACTAGGATGTAACCCAGGGACAGGGGATGGGGACAGAGGCTACTGCCTGGAGAGGGTGGTGAGGGTCTTACCACTAGCCTCTGGCACCTGGCGATCCTCATAGAGGTTGGTGAGGAACAGGCTGTTGATGAGGGTAGATTTCCCTAGGCCTGATTCTCCTGTGGACAGAACAGGCCCAATTGGTCAGGGGAGAGGACAGTCAGGGTCTCCTTAAGGACATCCCCTCCACAGTTCAAGACCCCCAGACCTGCCACCATGAGTGTGAAGTCAAACCCCTTCTTGACAGACTTGCGGTGCAGCTGGTTGGGGAGGGCAGCAAAACCCACGTACTCCTTGTCCTGTGGATGGGGGTAGAAAATATGAAGCTGTTGGCAATGGCAGGCAGAGTCCCCCAAGATCACTTGAGCTCTTGGGCTAGGAAGAGTCAGCAGGGTCTGTGACCCTGGGCATAGGGGATTGGGGGCCAAGATGCCCAGGTTTCTGGGCTTAAGTACTCACCATGGCTCCGCCAGCCGTCACTGCACCTGCCGTCTCGCCCCACTTCCTATGGTGGGGCAGGAAGTTGACTGCGGCTAACAAGGGGGCGGGCAGAAGAGGCAGCTGAGATGCTCAAGCTGGCTCAGTCTCAGAGAGGTAGGGAAGGCCAAGGCCAAGAAACCTGGGGTTACCACATCCTGGACCCCTTGTCCCTTCATCCCTCCATGCACGTTCAACCCCTCCATTCTTCAAACATCTGGATTCCAAGTCCCACTGCAGCCCCTCATGGTGATGAGACATGGGGTATGTGCAGACAGGAAGAAAGCACACTGCCTTTGTTAGCAGGTGAGATGAAGGAGGTTTTTTTTTTTTTTTTGAGACGG